TGTAGGTAGATACCGAGGAATCCTCGCCACGCACATCCATAGATAAATTAATACAATGGCATCGATTTATTGTAAATTTGATATAATAAATTGGAGGAAGCTCGTAACCCTGCTATTAATTCCAGGAAATCCGGGCTCGGCGCATTTAAAACCAGCAGATATTACTCCAATTTCATAAAACCATCTATTTATCGGTAACATCACCGGACCACCACTGTCACCCTGAAATAATTAGAAAAATACAGATTGAAACGAGGTTAAAAATCGAGAGTTGTTCAATTACCTTGCAAACACCTCTCCCACCGTTTCCACGTGTGCATATCAACCGATCATCAACGATGATTGAACTTGTGAATGCAGAAAAAGCCGCGGCGCAAGTTTGGGTGGTAACTACTGGTATTTGTACTTCTTTAAGTACATCGCTCTGTGGTCCATCTGCGTTAAAAAGATCGGAAATAATGGAGAATCGACTATCATTGATTGATACTCACTTAAATAAATAGTACCCCATCCTGCAAGGAAAGGCCTAGTGTTTACGAAGTCACGCTCTGCAATTTTCCCCACAGGAAGACAAATGGGATGTATATTATCTAAAAATACATTGCTTAGAAGAGAAGCAGGTATCATTATCTAAGTGATATGGAATTTCAGAACTTCAGGCCTACACGTGAATTGTACATCACGCTCCAGTCTCAGGATAGCAACATCGTTTATATGCATACTCTTGTTGTATTCAGAATGAATGATCTTTTTCTCGAATCTCAAGTCAATGGGATGTGCTCCATCGTCGTCTCTCTTCAGATCCAAGTCCCCGAGGCGAACAACGACAAGGTCGTTACGTTCCGCGCAATGGGCAGCGGTTAATACGTGTCTGGCCGATATGAGAGAACCACCGCAATTCCATTCCAATTCAGAAGTTGGAGTTTTTTTAAATCCTAGTGCAGCCATCCAAGGCAATGCGTCTGAAATCAAGTTTTGTTGGGTATAATGAATTAATCACTGAATCAAGAGACGAAGTTTATAATGAGACATACTGAGTTTCGCTGGCATTCCACCGACTATCCTCGGGCGAAAGACATTACTGAAACCGCACTGAGGTGGAAGCAGAGGTCCGTATAAATTTCGTTCCGTCGAGCCTCCCGACTTGCCTGGACAACAAACGATCGGATTCTTGCCCTCAATACGGCAGATGAATTTCTTTGCGAAATCAGCCGCTTTTGCACCTTCTCTTCGCAGCAATTCTAGCAGAGGCTGGCAGTTTTTAATATCGATACACGTCCCTGCCACTTGAGTCGGTGTCATGCATTCTGTAATTCCTTTTATTTGGTAAATTATTCATTGATCATAAGAGACGTACGAACCTTGAGATATTGCTAACTTTAGGAAACTGATTAACATCAGACATGTAAAGAACATTGTGGATTTCATTTTTCTTTTCTGAAATGAGAAAAGGCATACGAGTACCCAGTCTTTATTTCTAATCATTAATTAATTTTCATGTGCTGTCGATGATAATTAGTTTTTATATTTAGTTNTTGTTATCCATGTAGTTTATAATTCGTCATTTTCTTAAAACGCTTCGTATTGAGCGAAGCGGTTGTTCACGCGTCAAAGGCCGTGTGTCCGGATCCGAGCCAACGCTCCCGATTCGGGGCTTACGCCAACCGAGCGCTCTGATTGGTCGGAGTTTTTTGTTAATAACTCCTCAACCACGCATCGGACAACTTTTTCGCTAAGGAAAATGCTGTTTAAAATTACGTCAGGAACCTCCCACTTCAATATCTTACACTAACTTTGGGACACCCTGTATACCTTCGTGATTGTATGCGTAACTTTCAAATTTGAAAGAAATGAAACGGAACAAATTCAAAGATTCGCTGCGTTATAATGGCTTCGACGGTCTATGGAAGTATAAAATGTGATACAGAAGCAACTTGGTATATATATACTTTGCTACATAAAAGTGTGGCCAGTTGGTTGCAGATAAACAAGCGTAAGTTTCTTGGCACCGCGGTCGCATTTAGAAAATTGCCATCTTTAGTTAATACCTCTCGTCAAAGTACATCTTTTAGTATCCTTGAAAGAGAAAGCCCTCGAAAGTAGAAAACAGTAGTAACAAGGGTAGCTGCAACAGTAAAAATCACCTTTGTCGATAAGAACAAATGCAGCGACAACTTGATTGTTTAAATGTATATTCCTTTTGCATTGTAATTACAGATAACGTCTAGTACACTAATATAAAAGAGCTTATAAATTTCTTGATAAAACACTTGTACCAGCTGAGTTTACTTTTGAAAATGACAGGCAAATTCAAAAGTTAAGGAGGAACGTTTACGAAGAACACGTGTGTCGAATTAATTAAGGTCCGGGTAGCTATATCAGTCTCAAAAGAGACGGGGCAGAGGACCAAGAACAGAGAGGCGAAAATATCATCGTATCATCGTATGTATGCTAATTGAACGAGGGCCAATCTGGAACGGACCAACCCAGTGGCCTCTATTTGATTATTATGATAAGTATTCGGCTAGAGAGGAGTTCCTTCACAGACGACGACGTGAAAACAGCTTTAATGTTCCTTCCCGAAGTTCTCTGGTACGATAGTAGAGAGTGAAGGTCATGAGAGTGAAAATCCGCTTCTGGGATTACACTGTCGTACCAAGTATCAGTGCTTTTCGCTTAAATTGAAGCTATCGCTAAAACCACCGTGGCTGCAGTAAATCAAGCTTGCTTACGTACCATACACAATTCATCGAGTGGAGTTTGTAAACTGACTTTCCACAGTGGTAAAACCGAATAACATTGCGCGGTGTTCAAAAGTACATTCGATTGTTATTTCCTTTACGCTTGAAAGTTATAACTTCTATACATTCTTGGAAATTCTTTTGTTAGGGATTCGGAGTTTGGAGCAATGATAATGTCCCACCAGACGAAAAAAGAATAATAAGAACAATTTATTCTTGTAGCATAATACAACAGACTGAACTATACCTATATCGAGCACCGGAGTCAAGCCGTCCCTTACTCTCACGCACACATGTATTACGCACACTCATGAAGCTCGGCCAAGCCTGCACGACGCACGTCGCACGACCAGTTTAGATGATGCGATTCAGCTCGCTGACTAACCCGAATAGCTCAACGGGCCCAAGCGGCTCGATGCGACCGAGTAGCTCGGCGCGACCGAGATTTTCGGGTACTTGCACATCTCTAATTATTAGTTGCGGTGATAGTAGGTGCAATGATTAGAAAGTGTAGGGTAAAATAATTAATACTTAATTAACGTGCTCTAAGCTACTCCTTTTTATTCAGTGTCTTATTAATCTTAAACAACAATTTCCAATTTTATTATCTTCAAGTCAGCGACGAAGTGATGAAATGTAGGTAGATACCGAGGAATCCTCGCCACGCACATCCATAGATAAATTAATACAATGGCATCGATTTATTGTAAATTTGATATAATAAATTGGAGGAAGCTCGTAACCCTGCTACTAAGTCCAGGAAATCCGGGCTCGGCGCATTTAAAACCAGAAGATATTACTCCAATTTCATAGAACCATCTATTTATCGGTAACATCACCGGACCACCACTGTCACCCTGAAATAATTAGAAAAATACAGATTGAAACGAGGTTAAAAATCGGAAGTTGTTCAATTACCTCGCAAACATCTCTCCCACCGTTTCCACGTGTGCATATCAACCGATCATCAACGATGATTGAACTTGTGAACGCAGAAAAAGCCGCGGCTCAAGTTTGGGTGGTAACTACTGGTATTTGTACTTCTCTAAGTACATCGCTCCGTGGTCCATCTGCGTTAAAAAGATCGGAAATAATGGAGAATCGACTATCATTGATTGATACTCACTTAAATAAATAGTACCCCATCCTGCAAGGAAAGGCCTAGTGTTTACGAAGTCCCGTTCTGCAATCTTCCCCACAGGAAGACAAATGGGATGTATATTATCTAAAAATACATTGCTTAGAAGAGAACCAGGTATCATTGTCTAAGTGATATGGAATTTCAGAACTTCAGGCCTACACGTAAATTGTACATCACGCTCCAGTCTCAGGATAGCAACATCGTTTATATGCATACTCTTGTTGTATTCAGAATGAATGATCTTTTTCTCGAATCTCAAGTCAATGGGATGTGCTCCATCGTCGTCTCTCTTCAGATCCAAGTCCCCGAGGCGAACAACGACAAGGTCGTTACGTTCCGCGCAATGGGCAGCGGTTAATACGTGTCTGGCCGATATGAGAGAACCACCGCAATTCCATTCCAATTCAGAAGTTGGAGTTTTTTTAAATCCTAGTGCAGCCATCCAAGGCAATGCGTCTGAAATCAAGTTTTGTTGGGTATAATGAATTAATCACTGAATCAAGAGACGAAGTTTATAATGAGACATACTGAGTTTCGCTGGCATTCCACCGACTATCCTCGGGCGAAAGACATTACTGAAACCGCACTGAGGTGGAAGCAGAGGTCCGTATAAATTTCGTTCCGTCGAGCCTCCCGACTTGCCTGGACAACAAACGATCGGATTCTTGCCCTCAATACGGCAGATGAATTTCTTTGCGAAATCAGCCGCTTTTGCACCTTCTCTTCGCAGCAATTCTAGCAGAGGCTGGCAGTTTTTAATATCGATACACGTCCCTGCCACTTGAGTCGGTGTCATGCATTCTGTAATTCCTTTTATTTGGTAAATTATTCATTGATCATAAGAGACGTACGAACCTTGAGATATTGCTAACTTTAGGAAACTGATTAACATCAGACATGTAAAGAACATTGTGGATTTCATTTTTCTTTTCTGAAATGAGAAAAGGCATACGAGTACCCAGTCTTTATTTCTAATCATTAATTAATTTTCATGTGCTGTCGATGATAATTAGTTTTTATATTTAGTTCGAAAGTTTCGCTGGTAAATAGTAAGACACAGGAAAGTAATTAATTATTTGTACAAATGTAATAAATCGGAAGTACATTTCGTCTACACTTCTAAAAAATAGATTTTTCCTTACCTTCTGCACGTTCGTACACTGGAAATTCTTTACCTAGCGAAACAGTGAGATTTGAAAATTGTATACGCACTAGCCAGAATGTATGGTTCTTTATAGTACGTTATGATAATTAAATTTTTTTATTCCGTACTATAAAACGTATACGCGTATTAAAAGCACGACAATATTTACCAAACGTGTACTATGCTTTCTGAAAATGTTCGTATCGTGCACATTAAACTTCCACGTCGTGATACGTGAGACTATAAAGATTAATACAAGCAGGAATACGATGCCATCGTTTTATTGTAGAATAGATGTACGTTTGCTTATGAAGACCGACTATACTCGTAGTCCCGAGAGACTAAGAGCGGGCACAGTTTAGTTTTTGATCGTTCTGCGCATCTCAATGCTTTACCGTATATACTGAACCGTGTGGAGGGAGTTCGCTGCGATCCCCACCACCCTCCCAAGCTGCGCGAAACGCTCCTCGACTCTCGGGACTGCAAGTATAGACAAAAGGTCTTAAGCAGTATTCCCACTATCCGGCAAACGCCGGTCCGGAGCCGGTGACTGTCGGTCGAAACCAGGACCGAAGTTAGTAGGCTAGAGGATAGGGAAAAGCGTGTAAAAGCGAGGATGCCTTGGGCCCCCGGTCGAAATCTGCAGACAGGCTACCTGCTGTTTAGGTTCGAGCCGCCGCGGCGCCGGTCAGCGGCAGGTCAGCGGCACTTTTCGGCCGAAATGCAGAGAAAGCCTAGCCACCGATTTTTCCGACTGTTGTCGGTCGGTTTCTTGTTAAATTGTTACTTCATAATTTTTATAATAACGTCGAGCCAAATGTATATTATAATGCGAATGACAATATGATAATGAAAATCATTGATGCGAAGCAAATATACGTATATTGTTATCTGCATGATGTTAATAAACAATGTTTTAGCTTTTGGGAATCAGTAGAATATGTGTATAAATAAGATACTGATTGGAGTGCGAGTGTATCGCCCTCGCTTCTCATTGGTTCTATGAACCATTTTTTTCTCTCATTCCACCATTCTCCTTCACGTATTTCAGTACATAATGTAAACGATGTATTGACCTCACGTCATTCGCCAAGAATATACTATAGAGAATGGTGGCTTTTTTCTTTACAACCATTGATTGGTCACCACAGGAAAAGCGATATATCGGCAACGGAAGAATAAATGATCGATTGAAACATGAAAAGTTGCACCATTTAAAAGTGGAACACGTTTATTAAATTCCATATGTTTAAGTTTAAAGCAGTAACGGATGCTGCAATACATATTTGCATGCTTAATTAAACGGCGAAACATTTAACGCATTTATAGTACTTGATTAACGCGTGTAATTTGTTTTTTGGTTTATTCGATGTCGTTCCACAGCAGCTGAAATCAAATACAAATGTAACATGCAAAATTTTGTGTAAAATTTTTGCGAAAAGGAGGACGGGCATTTGAATAAGTGGAATAATTATTATTCCAGTCGCGGCGAAATTGTAGTATTGAGACAAAACATGCGAAATGTCTTTCATTAATGATAGTAGCATTTTAAGTCTTGTCGTCATTTAACAATTAGAGTAATTTGTTTTTGATAACGCACAAGTCTTTTGAGTGTAGCACATTTAGAATCGTTACTTTTTAAGTGCAGGGCCGGTGTGACCATTTGCGGGGTCGGGTTCAAAAATTTTGCGGGGCCAGAATACACATTTAAATCCTA